TGACCATCAAGACAAAATCAGTCTACTACTCCACAACAGAGGTAGGGAAGAGTACACGTGGAATATGGGAGATCCATTAGGGCATCTTAGTATTACCATGCCCTGTGATTAAGATTAATGGGAAACTACAACAGCGCAATCCAGGCGGGACTACAAATGACTCAGACACTTCAGGAATGAAGGTTTGGGTCACTCCACCAGGATAAAAACCACAACCTGCTGAGGTGCTTGCTGAAGGCAAATGGAATACAGAACAGATAGTAGAAGAAGGTAGTCATCAATAACAGCTACGACCACATGACCAGCTGCAGACACGAGAACTGTAACTGTCGTATTTCTTCCTTCTTTTGTTAAAAACATGTTTGTGCATGTATACACTTGTACTAAGAAAATACCTTCATTCAATTTCCTTTTTCCGTTATCATGTGACATAAGATTTATTGACTTCACAGCAGCATTTAAGTATTGTCAACTTTATGTAATAGTATTTGGGTTGGGGATTGGTGCGTTTTCGTTTGTATGAAGGATGGTTGTATTATGTTAGAGGTAATTATGACCTTATTGTCTTTATTTGAAGATTATGTATGATCTCAGGAGATGTGTATGGGTTCAAGCTGACAAGAAGTAGACTTATGATGGTTAGTGCTGAGGGTCGACTTGACTGAAGGATGCAAAATATTGATCCTGGGTGTATCTGTGAGGGTGTTGCCAAAGGAGATTAACATTTGAGTCAGTGGGCTGAGAAAGGCAGGCCCACCCTTAATCTGGGTGGGCACCATCTGATCAGCTGCCAGGGCAGCTAGAATATAAAGCAGGCAGAAAAATGTGAAAAGACAAGACTAGCCTAGCCTCCCAGCCTACATCTTTCTCCCTTGCTGGATGCTTCCTACCCTCAAACATCTGACTCCAAGTTCTTCAGTTTTGGGGCTTGGACTGGTTCTCCCTCCTCCTCAGCTTGCAGATGGCCTATTGTGAGACCTTCTGATTGTGTGAGTTAATATTTAAAGTCCCCTTTAATAATAATAGGATATTTAATAATTTAATAATAATAGGATCTATCTCTCCTATTAGTTCTGTCCCTCTAGAGGACCCTGACCAATACAAGAAGCTCTTCAAAACATCATGGGAGATATAAAGCAGTGGTTTTCAAACTTGAATTATAACCAATTAGTGTACTTTGACATTATTTTAGTGTATTATAACCAACATATTTTTAAAAAGGGACAGAATAAAAACAGCAGAGAGCACTGCATACAGAAAGGGTAAGTATAGTTTCATGACACTTAAATATATGGTTAGGTGTTGTGAGTTTATGTACTGGACTATGATGTAGAATGTATTTCTGACAGAAACGTTTATTTAACAGTAACAGGATCTATTTACAAACCAAGTGGACCAGGTGTTTTAGTCTGTTTGTACTGCTGTAACAAAATACCTGAGACTGGGTAATTTATAAACAATAAAAATTTATTTCTCACAGTTCTGGAGGCTGGGAAGTCCATGATCAAGGTGTCAGCAGATTTAGTGTCCCGTGAGGGCTCTCTGCTTCTGAGATGAGCACCTTGTCGCTCACATAGTGGAAGGGATGAACGCTGTGTCCTCACATGGCTCACAGGCAGCTCTCTGCAGACTCTAAGGGCAATACCACTCATGACAGCAAAGCCCTCATGGCTAAATCCCTTCCCAAAAGGCCCCATCTCTTAATATCACCACCTTGGGGTTTAAGTTCCAACATACGAACTTTGGAGGAATATCTTCATTCAAAAAGCATAATACCAAGGAAGGCTGAAAGCCTTTTTCAACTGGCATGGAGTGGCAGCCGAGGTTAGGGTCAGGGGCCCTTGAACAAAAGCCTTAAGTTTAGGAAACAATACACAGACTAGTTGCTTACTATAGAGCAGTTTAATACCCTAAGCATTCTTTTAGGAGTGAGCTGGAGGCAATTATCTTAGCAAAGAAGCTGTAGGGAGAGTGAGGGGCAGGTCTACCCAGCTCAAAGGATATCCACTGCAAAATTTTCCTTCTCAGAAAAGGAAGGCTGCAGGACCCCTCTAGAGTACATATATTGCCAGGACTCAACAAGAATATAATCTCCTTCAAGACAGGAATGGGACAATGCTTTCAATTGGCAACATTCTGCTTTTACAGTCTATTTCCCTCTTATTCTCTGAATCTGTCTCTTGCCCAGTTTTTGATGGTGTTTGAAAAGCTGGCTGCCATAGCTTGATAAGGCATATATCTAACCAGGATATTTTACTGCCTTTTCCATTTCTGCTTATCAAACGTGTTAACATATAGTGGACACTATCTGGATCTTTTTTTTTTTTTTTTACTAACCATTTATACTTCGTGGCATTTTGGCCATCATAGGTATCTCTGGCTTCTTGGTCAATTGTTCTTGGTCTAGGTGTAATACTATTACACCTTAATTCTGATTGATTTTTCATCGACTGATTCATCTCCCCACCCCAAGTTAAGATTTGCTCATTGTTTTTGAATATATCTTGCTGGATTATATTGTTTATATGAATATATTATGCTAGGTTTTGTTAAATGCTCTATTTCTTAACTGTTACTCTGAAATCTTACTTTTTCAAGGTGCTTCATAATAACTTATTTTTTTAGAACTCCCAAACATGGATCAAGAGTACAAGTAAAGCTCTTCACTGTCCTCTATATAAACCATACAATTCTCACATCTGTACCCTTGCTCTTCTCTGTTTGATATGCCTTTTATTGCTCTCCTCCTCTCCAAATTTTATCCGTTCATCAAGGTTCAGCTTAAATCCCTCCATAAAGCCAACCTAACTACCCTCAGTCCCACTACTTTATCTAAATGTAGGTAGCACTGTATTTCCTCTCAACACTTAGAACTAAATTATTAGATCTTCGCATATTTCTATAAATTATATCCTGTAGGATCCCTGAATTAGGAGTCATTATTTATATAGCTTTTGCCTTACGTAGTCCTAGGCACTCAGTGGGATACAGTTGAATGGGCGTCAAGAGATGAAGGTTTTTGTCTTTATTTGGCACTCAGGAGTCTGTAACAGGCTATTGGGGAAGACAAGCTCTCTGATACCCCTCTTACTTTTCTCATAGTATAAACAGTAACTATGTAAATGGGAGGCTATCAAAACATCTTGGAGACCACTACCTTATAATTCACAGGTAGGAGATGGTCTTGCCAGTAAGGTAAAAAGGTGCACCTCAGTGCTTCAGACTGCCCATTACAATAAGTTTTCACTTTTATAAACCTTAGGTCAGTACCTAAGCTATATATAGCTTATATATAAGCAATACAAACCTTATGCTACACAAATAAATATTAACGGCAACTTTTTTATTTTTATTTTTTTGAGATGGAGTCTCGCTCTGTCGCCCAGGCTGGAGTACAGTGGCGTGATCTCAGCTCACTGCAAGCTCTGCCTCCCGGGTTCACGCCATTCTCCTGCCTCAGCCTCCTGAGTAGCTGGGACTACAGGCGCCCGCCACCACACCT